ATGAAACCGAAATATGATTAGTACTTTACATCCCACATTTAATTTTGCCTGTAATTTATCAAAACCATCATTTGAGCCTTAAATTTTAGGTAAAACCAATAAACATAATTTATGAGAACTTTCAGAATTATTTTTTTCGTTTCCTGAACTTTTACGACAGTGCTACTTTGCCATGGAACCGGCGGAATTTTAATGTGAATCAGTCTTTTCGTATTACCAACATTTTAAAGAAAAAATCCCTCTCTTCTTCGTCTGAAATCTGAATTGTAACCGACTGTTATGGGTCAAATTGCCTTCACAACTTTCAGAAAAGAGCCCCAGTGCCAAATGTAATCATATCTGTTCTGTAACGCTGGACAAGGAGGACATTATGCATTGATCTCACGCGCTTTGTGTACGTTTCAAAAGCAGGAGCACCGCAAGTTGGTAGTCCTGCCTGATGCCGTGTTGCAGGGACATGAAAGAGCGCACTGGTGTAGCAGCTGCTGGTCGAATTTGACCTTTGCAAAGAAAAGACTAGGTCGATCCCCAATCAGCGAATACAGCTAGAGTTCCTGTCGGAAGTCTGGCCGCTTTACATCAGAGTTTGGTATATAAGCACTCACTGCTTAGATCAGTTACTCTAGAGCAGTGGTATTCAACCTGGGGTACGCGTACCCCCGGGGGTACGCGAAGACATCTTAGGGGGTACGTGAAATTTAAAAAAAAAATATTATTTTATGATAAACACTGAATAATCAGTAATGTAATTTATCTAATTTATTTTACATGTAGATTACATACTGTGTATAACTTGAATTATAAACCAACAACTTTGGGGGTACAAAGTTGAAGAGAAATTATATCTGGGGGTACGCGAACAAAAAAAGGTTGAATACCACTGCTCTAGAGGATCTAACAGTCGCTCAGCTGGTCAAAGGATTTCCCGCCGCTTATTGAACACGAATGTTGTTTACCGTGCTCAGATGACCTCGCCACTGGAATTTGAGTTAGATCAATCCATTTCATATCTAATCATCCATTCTCGTGATTATTAGACTGTACAATAAGGAGAGTGTATTTATGGCTCAATACATTCGGGTACGCGGTAATGAATAGCGTTGAGTGGTCACGCTCTAGCCGTTTCAACTACAGGGAAAATTCA